ACCACTGATCACTTTAGCTCTGCTTGATACTTTGCACATTGTCTCACAGTTGTCACTGGGTGGTACCACCGCACTACGGTTCACTTACATTACGAAATGTCCTTCCATACCTATTTGTCATGTCCTTGTTTATGATGATACTAATGCAGCATGTTATGCCGGAGACAAATTCCTTGTGTGTTCTACATACTTGGCCAATAAAGATGATTCTGATTCTGATTCTTATCTTATCTATCTTATCTTAATTACCGTCTCAAAGTGCTCATGAGAAAGGAGAGGTTTTACTTTAGCCAGCTGCCTAAGATGAAAGAAGCTGGATTTAACAACAACACCAATTTGCTGGTCAAGTTTAAAATCACTGTCCAGATTAAGACCCAAGTTTGAGACTGTTGACTTAAGATAAGGAGACAGGGGACCCAAGTCTACAGGATCGGATGTACAAGGGCCACTGGGACCAAACACGATCACTTCTGTCTTGTTTTCATTGAAATTCAAGAAATTTAGTGCCATCCAGGCTTTGATTTTCTCCAGGCAGGATAAAAGTGGCCTTCATGAGAAAGCTTCTTTATTGCTCAGTGGGACATAGATCTGACTGTCATCTGCATAGCAGTGGAAGGAAATACCATGTCTCCTGAAGATGGTACCCAATGGGAGCAGGTACAGTGAGAACAGCAGAGGCCCCAGAATTGAGCCCTGTGGAACACCACATGACAGTGGTATATGCTAAATCAAATTGGCCTAATTTTTGGCCTTTTCTGGAGGTCACATTTTAAAGAACTCCCCCGACAGGTTTTTATGAGACTGTCCAAACTGTGCATATTTTTAAGATAATCAAGTTGATGAATAAAAGCAAAGCTTTTCTTTTGTCAAGTGATGCTGCTGTGACGATACAATGACAACAATGGTGGCTTGCATTTACTCAATTTTATTTTGTCAAGTGGGTGCACACAAAAGAATCATCTGGATTTAGATATAACGTTCAAGTAGATGTTTTGTTGACTTCAAAAGTATATCTGGATCCAGATGATATTATTCCATACAACTGTTTGACGAAATAAAATTGAGTAAATTCTAGAGGTGTCAAATTATCGCGTGAATTGTGAATAATTCATGACAGTCATATTTAGCGTGTTATGTTTTTTAATCGCGTTAATCTAAATTTTAATCTCTAACTTTATTGTTTCTATAGGTGGGTTGCCTTTTTGTAATATCCCTTTTGAACTGTATGTTGGCTTCCTGTGTTTGAGTTCTTGAGGGTAGGAAACAATGGTCAGTCACAGCCTGAAATGGACATTGATTGGCTGTCATCATGTTGGGCTTGTTTTGCAGAAGCTGATTGGCTCCTATTGGAGTTGGAAGGGCCAGGTAAACAGCGGTGAGGAGAGAAGTGGTGAAAATGGAGGAGAATGTGAGAGTTCTCGCCCCAACGAATGGAAAATGTACATTCCAAAAACGCCCTGATGGCACTATTGATAAAGGTAGTGTTGTGCCGAATTTGTAAGAAGGAGTTTGTTTCCATCGAAGCAGCTCAAGTTTAGCCAACCACATCAATGCAAAGCACCCAGTCGTGAGTGCAGCCACAGCTAACATTTTATCGCGAGCCATACTAAAGCTCTATGCCAAGCTAAACTCGAGGAGAACACCCCGCGTATGAGGCATGAAATCAGCATAGCTGCTGTGTCCTCTACCCTCTAGAAGTGATTTATGTTTATTTCAACACTTTATTTTTTAATGATGAACAGTGTTATTTCTGAAGTGTTAATTCACAGCACTGTGACGTAAGGATCTGTTTTATTTTATTTTTTAAGTTCAGTGTTCAGTACTTGTATAGCTCAGAAAAGTGTTCTTACTGTTTTTGATATGTTAACAAAGCATTTTTATGGACCTGATGTTCTATTTTGTTTTTATTTTGTAATTATTTGGAGATTTATCAAAAAACATAACAGTGATATTCCCCCTGGTGGTCGAAACTAAAGGTCGCAGGTAAGACTTGGGACGAGTCTCAAATACAGCAGAAAGTAAATGGCTCGAACTGCATCTGTTCACGTCTGTTTAAAAACAATAAACCACTGTATAATGCCAATTTATTTGTGATGTCAATCTTTTAATCTGCCTCAATAATGTAATGAATGTAAAAATGAAAACAAGAGTTTTCTCAGCAATTTTAGATGAGATTAAAATGTACATTAATTAGATCAAATAATTACAGATTATAATTAATTCATCTCACAATTGTTTTAATCTCTTGACAGCACTAGTAAATTCAACCCACCATTTTTTTCATTGTACACTATTTGCCAAAAAAAATGACACACATTTTAACGTTCAAATAATTTTGTAAATATTAAGAACCTTTGCACTCACAGGCCTGGTAAAAAAAAATCTTTTGTTCGGTTATTTTGTGATTGTTAAAAAAATACATCTGGCAAAAAAATCAAATTCTAGTTATTATTATTATTATTATTATTATTATTATTATTATTATTATTATTGTTGGGTGACCCAGTGGTTGACTGGTTAGCGGGTCAGCCTCACAGTGCAGAGGTGCAGGGTTCGATTCAGTCTCCGGCCTTCCTGTGTGGAGTTTGCATGTTCTCCCCCTGCCTGCGTGGGTTTCCTTTAAGTACACCGGTTTCCTCCCACATTCCAAAAACATGCGTGGCAGGTTAATGGAACACTCGAAATTGTCCCGAGGTGTGAGTGCGGATTGTTGTTTGTCTCTGTGTGTCCTGCGATTGGCTGGCAACCGGTTCAGGGTGACCCCAGCCTATTGTCTGAAGAC